AACTGCTAGGTTGGCAGGAGCTGGAACTAGAGACGGGAGCTCACTCCGTCATGCGGCACCCGGGTCTCGAACTGCTGAACTACCGACCTTCCACAGCCTGCAGTTCAGCATCTTAACCACTTGAGCCACTGCAGCTCCACCTATACCTTGTGGCTAATAGCTACTGATGGACCTCTGCTCCATATAAAAACATCAGAGAAGCCATGTTGGATCAGGCCAGTGGCCCATCCAGTCCAGCACTCTGTGTCACACAATGGCCAAAACCCAGGTGCCATCAGGAGGTCCATCAGCGGGGCCAGAACTGCAGAAGCCCTCCCACTGTTGCCCCCCAAGCACCAAGAATACAGAGCATCACTTGCCCCAGACAGAGTGTCCCATCTATAGCTTGTGGCTAATAGCCACTGATGGTCCTCTGCTTCCAATGTCTATCCCATCCCCTCTTGAAGCTGTCTATGCCCGTAGCTGCCACCACTTCCTGGGGCAGTGAACTCCACATGTGAATTAATCACTGTTGGCCTAACAAGAGTGCCTAACTGGTCTGAACTTTTGCATTAGCCATCTTTAAGAATTAGACTGCTCGGTCCATAGATATTTTATTATTTTATGCACGCAACACCTCTAATCCAATATCGTTTGTGAAACAACAAAGTCCCCCACCAGCTCTCAGTCATTGAGGCAGGCAGCCCATACAAATGCTGGGGGGAAAGGGGGGGGGGAAGAAACTCAACCCAAGATAAGACTGCGAACCAAAGGGCTAAGCTAACGATGTATATTATAAAAGTACAAATATTGGAAGCTAAGCAGGGTCGGCCTCGGTTAGTACTTGGGTGGGAGACCACCAAGGAAGCCCAGGGTTGCTATGCAGAGGCAGGCAACGGCAAGCCACCTCTGAACGTCTCTTGCCTTGAATCCCCAAGGAGTTGCCATAAGGCACTGTCAACCGCCACTCAACAGGACTGGCACCAACCCTTCCCTGAATAGTCTACGGGAATGACAGGGCCTTCTCCCCATCTTCCTGGGTTCCTGTTCTGCAGAAACGTGGCCTCGTGGACAGGCTGTGCACAGAATAAGATCAAGACGGGGAGCCGTGTTTGTCTGGTCGGAGGCGACACGAGTCGGCCGAGACGCGACCGGCACGTTTTCATCCACTGATCCATTTCTCCGTCGAAAAGGAGACGGCAGAAGACAAAGGCTGGAAGCGGCCTCCCTGAATCCCTGGAGAGAAGACGCGCCAGGCACTGACCTCCGCTCGCCGTGCCCTGCCACATCCAAAATTCATTTGTTCCATCCTGCTCTCCAGCCGAGATTGGTCCCAGAGCGAATCGCGGGGGTAAGAATCCAATCCAAACAACATAAAAATCCAACAGACATTTCCCTTGGCGGTGCGGCAGGGGGATTTCTGCTGAGCAGATCCAGGCGCGATGGGGTGTGTGTGTGTGTGTTCCTGCTTTCTCACTGCTACTCTCGAGAAGGAGGTAGGGCACAAGGTGCGAGGCTGAGACTAGATGGACCACTGGCCTGATCCAACACGGCTACTGTTATGTTCTTATTTAAAGGAGGAGGAGGAGGAAGAGGAGGAGATTGGATGTATACCCCGCCCTTCACTCGGGAGTCTCAGAGCGGCTTACAATCACCTTCCCTTCCTCTCCCCACAACAGACACCCTGTGAGGTAGGTGGGGCTGAGAGAGCTCTCTCAAGAACTGCCCTTTTAAGAACAGCTCCGAGAGGACTTGTGACTGACCCAAGGTCACCCAGATGGCTACACGTGGAAGAGTGGGGAATCAAACCCGGTCCTCCCAGATTAGAGTCCGCGCTCCTAACCACTACACCAAACTGCCTCTCCATTATTTATACCCTGCCTTTTAAGTAAATGAAAGCATTTTGGATCCCTGCGCGTTTCGCCAAATGCTTCGCCAGGGGATCTTGTATAAAAGCTTCTCTCGCTCCCTCCTTGACAAAGCGTGTTCCCGTTGCTCCCCTGAGGAAGCAAGATCCCCTGAGAGAGCATTTAGTGAAAGACGCAAGGATCTAGACCAGTGATGGCGAACCTTTTAGAGACCGAGTGCCCAAACTGCGACCCAAAACCCACTTATTTATCGCAGAGTGCCAACGCGGCAATTTAACCAGAATACTAAGGTTCTACTTTAGAAAAAACAACTCATACATTAACTTAAGATGATCCCAACAAAGTAAGGAAAGCAATCCCAAATGCTTTCATTTCCTTAAAATTATTTGGCAGAGAATTCGACACTTTAATGATGGTCTGGGCCTGGCTGGGGCGATGGCAGAGAGGGCTCTGAGTGCCACCTCTGGTCCCCGTGCCATAGGTTCGCCACCACTGATCTAGACGATCCAATAAAACTCTCAACCGTGCACCTTGCTCCTTTTCCCTCTGCTCCGCTCACCAGCAGAGTCGGCAGGCAGGGACTTCGGTTGGAACCCGGACTTGGGCACGACAGAGGGGGGACCGGCCGCTTCCCGTCCTCCCTTGGACGGCCTCATCAACAATAGGTGGAAAGGGACACGGAAGCTCTTCCTGCACACAAGGTTTTGCGCACGTTCCAAATTTTTTTTAATTTTTGCATTTTGTGCATGTGTGTGCATGTGCCCGTGCCTGGAAGTCATGGTGACCTTTGGCGACTCCTCCTGGGGCACGGAGGACATTCAGAGAAGTGACTTGATTGCCTGCCTCTAACCTCTCAGCCCTGGTATTCCAAGGAGGTCTCCCATCCAAGTACTTGGCAGGGTCGGCCCTGCTTAGCTTCCAAGATCTGATGAGCTTAGGCTTGCCTGGGCTACCCAGGTCAGGACAACTTTCTTGGTCTTAAAGGTGCCACTGAACTCGAAACTTTGTTCCTACGTGAATATGTCATAAAAGACGGGCTTCCATTTTTGCAAGTAAAATTTCTTTCTCTCGTTACCATCGGAGTCAGATCACCTTTGTAATTGGTTTGGACAGCATTTCCCCCTTAGCCGGGAAACACGGAGAATCAGGGATACAGCGAAGAAGCATTTGCTTCCAAGGCAAATAACATATTTTTTTACCTTTAACCCAACAGTACTGACTCTGCTCAGCGTCCAAGATCTGACGAGATCAGATGCCGCCTTCTTTCCCTGGCACTTGAGTCGCCACTGTTCAAAGCAGGTGGCTGGACTAGATGGACCACTGGCCTGATCCAACACGGCTACTGTTATGTTCTTATTTAAAGGAGGAGGAGGAGGAAGAGGAGGAGATTGGATGTATACCCCGCCCTTCACTCGGAGTCTCAGAGTGGCTTACAATCACCTCCCCTTCCTCTCCCCACAACAGATACCCTGTGAGGTGGGTGGGGCTGAGAAAGCTCTCTCAAGAACTGCCCTTTCAAGAACAGCGCCGAGAGAACTTGTGACTGACCCAAGGTCACCCAGATGGCTACACGTGGAAGAGTGGGGAATCAAACCTGGTCCTCCCAGATTAGAGTCCGCGCTCCTAACCACCACACCAAACTGCCTCTCCATCATTTAGACCCTGCCTTTCCTTCCAGTGTGGACCCTTACATCATTCTCCTCTCCTCCGTTATAGCCTCAAAACAACCCTGCAAGGTAGGTTAGGCCGAGAGTAGGTAACTGGCCCAAGGCCACCCCGCAAGCTTCCATGGCAAAGTGGGGATTCGAACCCGGGTCTCCCAGATCCTTGTCTGACACTCTAACCACAATGCTGTGCAGGCTGATGTTACTCTCCGCAGTATGTCCCATCGCCACCAGAAGACAATCCCCCCCCCCGATTCTGTGCGGGATGGACGCTCACCTCTGCCGGGGTCATTTCGCTGATCACTTCGAATTCCTCCTGCAAGAGAAAGAGAGGGGATGTGATTTCCGCACCTGTGTGGGGAGGGTTGGGGGGGGGGGGAGTTGACCGAAAGAAAAACGTGACAGATGGAGAAGGAGCAGAGAGTATGCCTCCAGCCTGTGCCAAAAAAAGGTAGAGTCTGATTCACCCATTATTACAAAATGGGAAGCAGAGAATGCTGTGCATCTGAAACAAGCAGGAGACCGGGAAGGAAAAGAGGGCCGGTGTGCTCCGGGTTTGAGGGCAACGGAAAGGTCGATGGGTGTCTCTCGTACACGCTTTGGTTCTGTTTACACGTTACTTCCTTAGTCAAGGGCACTACCTGGTCATTTACACTTTGCTGAGGGCTGCTTGGTGGCTATAGATTGCCCCAAAGCGCCCTCCTGCGGCAGGAGTTGGTATACACACTCTCCTGGACCAAACTCTGGTCTCTGGGCAATTTACTCCAGCTTGGAAAATAGGTATGTGAGATGCATCATGGGCCACATTCCTGCAGTTGCACATTGGGAAGTTCGTTCCCCCCGGATGCTGGTAAAGAGGTGGTTTTTGGTTCAGGTTTTCCAAGGGCAGCTTTTTGACTAAGCTTGTCTGGGTCGCGGGGTTGAGGTCATTGGGCTGGATCTCAAGCACCGTAAGGTACTATGGAGAAGCAGATTGCCCATGGAGTGAATGCTCCCACTAGGGGCTGCAGCCAATCCTGGCTCTCTGAAGAGTGCCTCTGTCTGCTGCGCTGTTTCCACACAGCATCTGTCTTGTGTGTGTGGAGGTCATTCACTCGTAGGGTCGCTCTAAGTTGGGAGCAATTTGATGACACTTCACACACACACACACACATGCACACACAAGAAAAATGCTGTATCAGGCCAATGGCCCATCCAGTCCAACACTCTGTGCCCACACAGTGGCCAAAACCCAGGTGCCATCAGGAGGTCCACCAGCAGGGCCAGAACTCCAGAAGCCCTCCCACTGTTGCCCCCCAAGCACCAAGCATACAGAGCATCGTTGCCCCAGACAGAGTGTTCCATCTATACCTGGTGGCTAATAGCCACCGATGGGCCTCTGCTCCATATAAGGACATAACTGAAGCCATGCTGGATCAGGACAACGGCCGTGGGCAATGAATCCCATATTTCAACCACTCTCTGTGTAAAGTGGTACTTCCTTTTGCCTGTCCCGAACCTACTGCACATCAGCTTCACTGGGTGCCCCCAAGTTCTAGTATTTCAGGAGAGGGAGAAAAATTTTCTCTTGGTCAACTCTCTCCACCCCATGTATCGTTTTATAAACCTCTATCACGTCCCTCCTTAGTTGTCTCTTTTCTAAACTGAAAACTCCCAGCCTGTTCAGCCTTTCCTCGGAGGGAAGGTGCTCCAACCCAGTTACTTGGGTAAATGATTAGGGACTGTGGTCTACTCTCCTGTGTTTAGCTTGCTGAAACCAGGATCCTACTATGTAATTTTTACATCCTTCAATATGTCACACCAGGGCTATTTTTGGGCAGGAACGCACAGGAACGGAGTTCCGGCTGGCTCCTGAGTTGGCCACGCCCAGCAGGAACTCATTAGCATAATAGGCCACACCCAACAGCAGAAACTCATTCGGATTGGCTACATTAGGGGTGTGTGGCCTAACATGCAAAGGAGTTCCTGCTACAAAAAAGCACTGGGTTTTGACAACAAACACAGAATAACAAGCAAAAGGTGGGTGTGACTGGATGACCACACTTCTGGTAACATGGGGGTGCGGCCTAATGAGCTGTGCTGTCAGGGGTGTGGCCTACTATGCTAATGAGTTTCTGCTGTTGGGTGAGGCCTATTATGCTAATGAGTTCCTGCTGGGCTTTTTCTACAAAAAGGTCCCTGTGTCACACTAAAACTTATTCTTGGTTTCTGTTTGGTTTTTAGACTTCCGTTTGGTTCTGCCGCTCTATTACACCGTTCGTCGAACATCCCACGTTTAATCCGCCTTAAGCCCAAGTGAGAAAGGCGGACTAAAAATAATGTAAAAAATTGAACAATATTTCCATCGTCTTGGAAGCAAAACCCATTTCACGACACCAATTCTTAATGAAACACGAACAACAGAGAGATTTCTCTTGAATCATGGGTTGGGGGGAAAGGAACATGAGAAACCAAACTAGGGCTGATTCCACACAAAGGGTTTTTTTTTTACCCCGTGGGGGTCACGTGGCAACTGCAGTCGTCGCGCAATTCGCACTCGTGGCAGAGATTCCACACTGCAGAAGGTCATCTGGCGGTCTGTTTCCCACCGTTCTTAGCTATAATTTGCCCACGTTTTAAAATACTTTTTGGTGCAAAGGCCGCTCCGGAATACTAGGATTCTTTTTTACTGGCTCTTGCCGCGATAAATTAGATTGAAATTGAAATTAGATTGAAATTCTTTCGGTCAGGGAGAGAACCGTGGTCATCTGCATTGACAAGACCTCCCCCCCACCACTTGGGGGAAGGAGAGAGACAACTTCAGGGACTTTTCAAATCTTAACTGGCAGAACCGGGGGGGGGGATCCATGAGGGATACTATTTGCCCTGATCCCCCCTTGATCCATGAGGGATATTATTTGCCCTGATCCCCCCTTGATCCATGAGGGATACTATTTGCCCTGATTCCCCCTTGATCCATGAGGGATACTATTCCTGATCCCCCCTTGATCCATGAGGGATACTATTTGCCCTGATCCCCCCTTGATCCATGAGGGATACTATTTGCCCTGATCCCCCCTTGATCCATGAGGGATACTATTTGCCCTGATCCCCCCTTGATCCATGAGGGATACTATTTGCCCTGATTCCCCCTAAACAAAAAATACCGTTTCAATGGTGTCAGCAAGAACACCAAGTCAGTCCACTGTAAAAATGCAGAGAAAGCAGTTTTCCTCCCATTTAACAAGAGGGCGGGGCCGTGGCTCAGTGGAAGAGCCTCTGTTTGGCAGGCAGAAGGTCGCCGGTTCAATCCCCGGCATCTCCCGTTGGAAGGATCTGGCAGTAGGTGATGTGAAAGACCTCAGCCTGAGACCCTGGAGAGCCGCTGCCGGTCTGAATAGACAATCATACCTCGATGCTTCACATACGATCATTTAAAAACAGTGGAAGCTTTGGCAACCTGGGGTTGCCGGAATGGAGAGGAACCTCTGTGTGGAATCAGCCTCCGACAGAAAACCCACTGAAAGTCGTGGGAGGAAATCACCGGGACAGTTTCCACCTCAGCCAAATCCCCAACTTCCTCGATGCGGACAGAGAAAACAAGGAAACTAAACGCCCGGGGCAGGTTTTCACTACGAGGAGCGAAATTAGCTGGGGAAACGAGGACCAGAGGCAGGGGTGTAGGAGACAAAGGTTTCTGATTGGCTGTTCCGAAAGAGATCACTTGGTGATTGGTTAGTTCATCCGAAGGGGAAGGGTATTTTGTTGGCTCCCGCTAAAGAAAGAAGAAGAATCAAACGTGAGGCCGAATGGTGCTGAAGGTCTGGAGGGTGCCCCACCCATGGCACCTTTGGGGGTTGTGTGGGGTTGCTGGCCACCTGCTGGAGGTGGGGGATCCCCCCAGGCCCCGCCCCCTTGCTGCTGATCAGCTGGTTGGCTGGGGGAGGGACTTACCAGGAGCAGGAGGGAGGCCCTGGTCACTTCACCGGGCGACGTCACTTACGACATGCACCGGAAGTGACATCATCGATGTCACAGTGACACTCTGGCATTTGGGCAAAAGCTCTATGGTAGAAGCCACAGAGAGCTTTTGCCCAAATACCACAGCGCTGCCACGACGCTACAGTGTGATGATGGCACTTCCAGTGCCCAACGGAACTGACGTTCCCGGCCATGTCGCCTGGGCCTCGCTCCCAACCTGGTAAATCCCCCCCCCACGTCAGTTGCTAGAAGGGTCCTGGCAACCTCAACAGGAAGCCATTACAGTCTCTGTCCACCATTTCAGTGCTCACTGGAGAACCTCAGGATGCTCTCGCAGCAGTGTTCCCTCTAAGCTGAGTCGGTGTGAGCTAGCTCACAGTCTTTTTAGCCCCCGGCTCACACATTTTCATCTTAGCTCAGGAAGGATGGGGCTCCAGAGCAAACTGATTGATCCAGTGGCCAAATCACCTGCTCACAACTTTAATGCCGGCAGCTCACAAAGTGGGATTTTTGCTCACAGAAGACACCACGGCTTAGAGGGAGCGCCATCTCCCAGGCCAAAACTGCCTCTCGCTTTCCCCCAAAGGCGGTTCTGCTGGATCAGTAGCACGACGCTGGCCTTCCGTTGCCAGCAGTGACCCAAGCAGAGGCTTCTGGGAAAATCAGGAGAAAAGCAAGGAGGCGAATGCCCCCGCCGTCATCCCTCTGCTGCCACCTGACATTTAGAAGTATGAATCTGTGGCTCAAGTGGTTAAGACGTTGAACTGCAGGCTGTGGAAGGTCAGTAGTTCAGCAGTTCAAGACCTGGGTGCTGCATGACGGAGTGAGCTCCCGTCTCTAGTTCCAGCTCCTGCCAACCTAGCAGTTCGAAAGCAAGAAATTGCAAGTAGATAGGTACCACTTCAGTGGGAAGGTAACAGCGTTCCGCGCACCTTGGTGTTTAGTCATGCCGGCCACATGACCACGGAAACGTCTTCGGACAGCGTCTTCCGTCATGCGGCAACCCGGGTCTCGAACTGCTGAACTACCGACCTGCTCCTACAGACAGACTAATGCGGCGACCCAGCTTGATCTAGGGCCAACCCAGTTTGGCTTCTGAGATTTGACCGGGACTAGCTTGGATTCGAATCCGGCTCTTCTGAAGACTCTCGCACGACTCCCGTTCATGTCAATGAAGGCTGCCCCAAAAGGACAATTCCAAGCCAATTTAACACTGTGTGGGCCTGCGCGGGAGGACTCCCTCATTTGGATTTTCTGTCTTTGGAACCAAACTATCCTGGGTTGGTTCAGGCGCCAAGGCCCAGGGCACCGTACAAACCTTCAACACAGTCCTCGGCCTCAACGGACAGATTTGAGTTTCCTGCCCTGTGATTGTTCGGCAGGAGTGGAGCGGACGTGGCGCGGCCCACACTTACCGCCACGGAAATGCGGACGCGCTTCGACTTGCGCTTTTCCGTTTGGCCCGAATTCTCTTCCTTTTTTTTTTTTTATAAAGAAAAAGTTTTAACCAGGAAGGAAAAAAAAAAACCAATAAGGAAGAGAGCATTATGGGAGATGTGTGCTCACCGAAACAGTGAGGAGCAAATGGGGCGCCAGAGAGCCTTGGCCCCGGGGAACGTCCCCGGCTGCGTGGGGCGGGATGGGGTGGGAAGAAACGAAAGGAGGCCTCACCTCATTTGGCTCTGCTGTCGTGGAGTTGCCGCAGAAGAGACTCCGCAGGGCGATGCCTGGTGGGTCCACGGTCCCGGCTGTCCACAAAGAGAGACACAAAGAGTATTCAGACATTGCAACAAACCAAAGTTTGCTCAGAAGGGTGGCTTTGTGCGACAAACCTTTGTTAGCCTTCCAGACTCAGGTAACAAACTCCGGTTTGCGCATAAACCCTGCTGTCTCTGCTGCTCGCCTTCTCTTGGCAAGAGGAACGATAATCCCCACACTTCTGTTCCTGTGGCCAGAGAGCCGCAAAAGGGCGCTGCTCCTCAACAAACCGTGATTTGGGAATCAAGCCATCCCAGTAAACCACAATTGGTGCAAGCCGTGGGTACCAAATGGAGGAGAAATTGTGGGGTTTAGGGCTGTCATGATCTGGGCTGTGCCAGTAGGGCCTAACAGGCCCAGGAAGCCTGTGTAGTGGTGGGAGGCCGCGCCTACAACTCCCAGAAGCCCCTGAGAGGTTTTGGAGCCAAAATGAACCAATCACAGAGAAAGGGAACTTATAATAATAAAAGAACTGGTGCAAGAGGAGAAGCTGTTCTTTCTTCCAAGAGGGCAGAGCCAGAAGGAAGGCTGCTGCAGGGAAGAGACCCTCATCCTGAGAGGAAGGGTGAGCAGACTGAGGCCCACTTGAAACCGTGAGCTAGGGACAGTAAGTTTAGATGTGTTAGGGCATTTGATTCCTTTTCTTTTCACCGCCTTACTGTTATTATTCCTGCACCTTGTTTGTTTGACCTCCTATAAAGTAAACCTTTTCCTTGTTGTTTACTCTGCCTGGTCCTCACACCTATTATTCTGCCAAAAGGGAGGTCTGAAGGTCTTGGGAGGGCACTCTGGGCCTTCTCAAGGGATCCTAAATCCAGGGTGGTGGCAGAGTCAGGTGACACCCCACCTGAGCCGTGACAGGGGCCATCTGAGAAACCCTGTTTGCTTTATGGACTGTGTTTGCGCATCATGACCGTCTGCGACTTGGCTGATCTGCCATTTATTGCGACGTCTGGGCATTGGGCAGGGATCACGGGGGGGGGGGAGGGCTGAATAGCTGTGGATTTCCTCTATTGGGCATGGGGTTGGACTAGGCGACCCTTGGAGTCCCTTCCAGCTCTGTGTTATATATCAATACAGCCCTGGTCGGGCGTCGTCTGAAGGGCCAAGAGGGGGGAAAGGGGTCAATAGACTCACTCGTAGGGCTCTCAGATAAGCTGCTGGAGGTTCGTTTCAGAGCCGGCTTGAGAGGTTTCCGGGCCTCGCTTCGCGGCGGGACAAATGAGGATTCCTCCGTGCTGATCTGGGTTGAACAGAAACAAAGAGGGATGAGGCTATGTACAGGACAAGCTGACTTAGACCCAATGACGGAATGCAGGGTTTCCCGTTTATCAACTAGTACCTCCTAAGTGCATGTTAAATGGCTGTGACGGCCGCGTGAGATGTCGATCTAAAACTGGAGAGAGCCCCCTTTTTATCATCTCAGAGGGCCCTATCATGTTTCTGAAATATTTCCTTTCCTGTTTTAGAAAATAATATACGGCAGGGGTCCCCAGCCCTTTTTGGTGTAGTGGTTAAGTGCCAGTTTTGGTGTAGTGGTTAAGTGCGCGGACTCTAATCTGGGAGAACCGGGTTTGATTCCCCACTCCCGCACCTGGCTAGATGACCTTGGGCAAGCCGTAGTTCTGGCACGGCTGTTCTTGAAAAAAGAGCACTTTCTGTCAGAGCTCTCTCAGCCCCACCTACCTCACAGGGTGTCTGCTGTGGGGAGGGGAAGGGAGTTTGTAAGCCACTCTGAGACACCTTTGGGTAGTGAAGGGCGGGGTATAAATCCAATCTCTTCTTCTTCTTCTTCTTCTTTTTGAGCCTGTGGGCACCTTTGGGGCTTTGACACATCATGTTGGGTCCAGTCACAAAATGGCTGCCACAAAATGGCCGCTTCAGGAGGCTGGGCAGGCCACAAAATGGCTGCCGCAGCTTACCTTCAGTCACAAAGTGAAGATTCTTGGGTGGCTGTACCCCTGGCTCTATGGTATACCATAGATTCTAGCCTGCTTTTGCGGTGAGGGTGGGGTACAAATTAATTAATTAATTAAATAAATAGGAGAAACCCCAAATTCCCCCCTCCATAGGCACTGCCAACAAATTTCCAGGAATCTCTCAGGCCAGATCTGACAAGCTTGGATCCAACCCGCTGGATTTTACCCCCTCTGGCTAGAGGTGGCTTAGGTCAAGGTTGCATTTCCACTCGTTCTTTCTCCGCTGCTCCAGCCAGCCCCTCTCCTTCCTTCTTCAGATTATTCCAAACTCGCACCCTTGACATCCCGGCCTCCAGACAACGGTTGTTCTAGGCCTCATCCTCCTCACCTGGAAGCGCACTCCTGTGTCAGGCGGGGGCTGCCCCTCATTTTCCGGGCTCTTCTCAGCTGCTCTGCGCTCTGCCTGGGCCTTTTCCCGCATGTACTGCAGGCGCCGGGTGAAGCTCAACTGCTCGCTCAGGAGGGCCACAATCTGGGCACGCTCGATGGACCCCAGAAGGATCATGGATTCTGTGTGGACAGCGAGGGAAATGAGTCGTTCTCGTGGGCAAAGGCGTTTGGCTCTAAAAATAAATGTGGCTGAAGTTGGGGACGTTTATACCGTGAAGGGAAATTTGGATTTTTGAAACACTCGGCTCTCTTGACCCACAGGCAAGAGAGCCAAGATTGCCAACCTCCAGGTGGGGCCTGGAATCTCCTGGAACTGCAATTAATCTCCAGGCCGCAGAGGTCAGTTCCCCGGGGGGAAATGGCAGCTTTGGAGGGTGGGCTCTCTGGCATTATACCCCACAAGGGCTGCCAACCTCAGGTTCAGAAATACCTCAGTAGGACCTCAGTAGGGTATAGTGCCATGCAGTCTACCTTCCAAAGCAGCCATTGTCCCCAAGAGAAGTGGAATAAATGTTTTAAATAAATAAGTCTGGAAATCTCTCTTTATATCCAATTGAGTAGTGGGGTGGCCCTTTCTGAACATTCCACATGCCCCTAAATCAGTTGGCTCCATGATGTGTCACTCAGAAGCTGTCCCTATTCACTGGCTGCATTGCCTGAGTCCCGCCCACAGAGGCAGCGCCCGCCAAAACTTTCCTCAGAAGATGGTTGCTTCGCTCTGGTGAACAGACCGTCTTTAGCCTCCAAGCCAAGTTTGCTGAGGCAACACTTTCCAGAACGGAAAAATAGTAAACAGCTGTCAGTGTGGCGGAAGTGGGGGGGGGGAACCAGCCCAAGTTATCTCAAAAAAGCCAGTGGATACACACACAGGCAGAGATAGAGGATGGGACCAGATACACAGAAAACAGGAAGCCAAAAACCTGAGGCATGCTGCAAAGCAGAAATACAGACACAGTCACAGACAGATCTATGTAGGCACGCACAAACAGGAGGAGTGCAGGAACAACTGGCTGAAGTGGAGAATGACATATACATTAAAAAAAATACAGAGAGTGTGCGACACTGGGATAAACCCTCACATCTTTCTAGAGCTCGTTGTATTGCTTTTACAACGAGCTTTACTGCTAGTCAGTTAAAATTCTAGATCTCCAGTCCCCACCTGGAGGTTGGGGACCTTGTACCCTGCTGATGTCGCACCCCTTCCCAACCCCCTTTTTGCCAGGCTCCACCCCTAAGTCTCCAGGAATCCAGGAATCTCCCAACCTGGAGTTGGCAACTCTATCTAGAGTAGCTTTTGGGTGCGACACTTATGGAATAAACAGGATGCACAAATTTTTGACACTTCACTGCATCTTCACCTCAGCCGAAAGTTTTCACCACATGCCTCATTAAAGTTGCCAACCTCCAGGTGGGGCCTGGAGACATCCTGCTATTACAGCTGATACTCCGGGCAACAGAGATCAGTTCCCCTGGAGAAAAGGGCTGCTTTGGAGGGTGGACTCTGTGGCACCGTACTCTGCTGAGGTCCCTCCCCTCCCCAAACCCCGCCTTCCCCAGGCTCCACCACCAAAACCTCCAGCTATTTCCCAACCCAGTGGTCCACCCTTCCCCAAATTTTGACCTCCCCAGGCTCCACCACCAAAACTCCAGGAATTTCCTAACCTGGAGTTGGCAGCCCTCGTCTTAGAGCCAAATCAATGGAGGACATAGTCAAACACCCACCCAGGGTCCAAGACAGCTTTGAGGCTGGTGCCTGACCAAGCATCCAAAGGCTGCAATGCATGCCTGGGGAGCTGCGTTTGGTGGGCCGAGTTCAGATTTTTAACGAGGAAGGGGGTTGGACTAGATGACCCTGGAGGTCCCTTCCAACTCTGTGATTCTATGACTGTATGAATGGACACGAGCCCAGGGTCGACAGGGTGCAGAGGAAAGAGGGTCTCCGCCCTCCAGGCCTGAGAGTGTCTAGGTTTTCCCTGCCTGTCGCAGCTTACTTTGACCTTTGCAAATCACTGTGACAAAATGTTATCTTCTGTTGCTGCTACAGTCATAAAGGGTAGGTTCGGCCAGAGGAAAGGAGGGATGTCACAGCGGGGAAGCTGCCCGGCAGAAAGCCGCAATGAGAGCCAAGCCAAGGGGGGGCTGATCAATGCCCCCCCCGCAATAGACATGACAACATTGTCACCCATGGAGGAACAGGAAGAAGAAGAAGAAGAGGAGGAGATTGGATTTATACCCCGCCCTTCACTCAGAGTCTCAGAGCGGCTTACAAACTCCTTTCCCTTCCCCTCCTCACAACAGACATCCTGTGAGGTAGGTGAGAGAGCTCTTTTGACAACTGCCCTTTCAAGGACAGCTCTTGTCAAAACTATGGCTTGCCCAAGGTCGTCCAGCAGCTGCAAGTGGAGGAGTGGGGAATCAAACCCGGAGAGCCAGTTTGGTGTAGTGGTTAAGTGTGCGGACTCTAATCTGGGAGAACCGGGTTTGATTCCCCACTCCTCCACTTGCACCTGCTGATGTGACCTTGGGTCAGTCGCAAGCTCTGGCACAGCTGTCCTTGAAAAAGAGCAGTTTCTGTCAGAGCTCTCTCAGCCCCACCCACCTCACAGGGTGTCTGTTGTGGGGAGGGGAAGGGAAAAGAGTTTGTAAGCTGCGCTGAGACTCCTTTGGGTAGTGAAGGGCGGGGTATAAATCCAATCTCCTCCTCCTCCTCCCAGATAAGAGTCCGCGCACTTAACCACTGCACCAAACTGGTAGCGGGGTAGCAAAGGAAAGGGGAGAGAAAGGCTGGTGGAGGTCAGGAGAGAAGAGCATGTTGCTCATATGCTTCAGCTGGGGTTTTTTAGGGGGACATCCGTAAGAGTGGCACGAAATGTACCCATTGGAGGAGGAGGAGGAGGAGGAGGAGGAGGAGGAGGAGGAGAAAGAGGAGGGATTGGATTTATACCCCATCCTTCACTCGGAGTCTCAAAGCGGCTTCCCCTTCCCCTCCCCACAACAGACACCCTGAGAGGTAGGTGGGGGTGAGAGAGCTCTTTCAGGGACTGCTCCTGAGAGAACAGCTCCGAGAGAACTTGTGACTGACCCAAGGACAAATAAGTCCATTCTTTTTTTAAAAAAAAATAAGTCGATTCTTGATCAAACCAAGCCCAAACTCTCTCTGTAGAAGCTGAAATGACTAAACTGAGGTGATGGTAATTTGGTCCCGTGATGAGAAGACAAGAGTCAGTGGAAAAGAGAATCATGCTAGGAAAAGCGGAAGGCAGCAGGAAGGAAAGAGGAAGGCCCAACAGGAGATGCATGGACTCCGGCTACAATCACACACAGTAAATAATTCACTTTCAGACCACTTTCAACGCACTTTCCAACTGGATTTTACTTGTGTGAACTGGCAGAATCCAGTTGGAAAGTGGACTTTAAGTGGATCTTTTAGTGTGTGTGATGGCAGCCTCAGCCGAGGAAACCAGGCCGCTCAGTCTGCAAGCCCTGTGAGCAAGGCTGAGAAGGACAGGACATTTCGGAGGACATAATTATTATAATTTTTTTAAAATCCCCAAAGGGATATTTTTATTTTTGCAATAAACGACAAAACTACAAAGAAAATGTTAGGGAGGGAACTACATCTAGGGATAAAGAATAGATAACCACACTATACTAAAACCCCAAGAGGAGGAGATCTTATCCCTGTTAGTGTAAGTGTTAATACCATCAGTGTTAGTATCACAATATACCTGTAGAGTTCTTCTTTATCTCAGCTTCAGTGTTTATGTGTTAGTACGTTAGTTGTTATGAGAATACGTTCTGATCATCTTCTTATTCTTTGCTTCAAAAGGCTATTTTCCAAGTCCGTCTGCCTTCACTTCGGCTTTTTGTCTCTAAAGTCATATACAACTCTGGCAGCACCTGCTCCCGTTTCTGCAGCAGAGTCCTCTTCCGTTCCAGAGGTGGCAGAGTCACTAGATTTCGTTTCCTCCTCCTTGGACTCTTCCTCGTTCCCAACTGTCGCCGCAAAAATTCTTTAGCTTTGAAAGTGGAGTCTATCTTCTCTCTTTTATCGTTGATCTTAAAGATGACACCCTCCGGAATCACCCACCGATACGAAATTCCATTAGTTTGAAGGAAATAAATTAAATCCTTATAATTTCCCCTCTTTTGTCGAATTTCAAATGGAATATCTTTTAAGGTTTTGATGGTTATATTTCCCATTTTCAGTGGAGTTGCTGATGTTGCTTTTAAGATAGTATCTCTGGTCTGTCTTTTTGAGAATCTGACCACGATTTCTCCAGGCAGGCTGTTCTTTTTTAATATAATTCAAGTATGCCCTATAGGCCATCTCCATTTCTTTTACCAACTCATCCGCTGTTAAGCCTATTGCTGGAGCGATGATCTCGCTAAGCAACCTCCTCAGGTCCTCCTTCTCTGCTTCAGGAACTCCCTGGAACCTGAGAATCATGTTATCTTTTTCCATCTGTAGTTGCAGCAAACGGCTTTCTTGGAAGTTTTGCTTTGTTTCAACTTCTCCCATTCTTTTCTTCAATTTCTTACTTGTGGTGTCTATCTCTTTCATTTTCTCAGTTGCCTGCTCCACTTTCTTCTCCGTTTCTTTCAGCTGGAACTGCTGAGATGCAAAGTTCTTATTCATCATGGTCAATTGCTGGTTAATACCATCGAGTTGCTCCATCACCGGCTTGAGCATATCCGCTAGCATTTTAATGACGTCTGCTCCCTCTTCTGGTTTTGGGCTCTGGCTGCCCGTCGGTTTCGTTTTCAGCTTTCTTTGCTAAGCCGCCATTTCCTCTGATTTGTTAACAGTTTCTAACGCTTCTTCCCGGCTCAAAGAATCACCCCACGATGACGGTAGTCAAGTAAGTCTCTGAAAACACACTCGTTGTGTTTCCTCCCCTCTCCCCCTTCGTATCGTTTATCAGTTCATTCGCATAAGAGGTCCCCCCTTTATCCGGGGGGGGGGGGAATCCGCTTTTACAATGATCCGGTTTATTCTGAACTCACGTTTATTGTCGGTCAGTTTCTCTAACCTCGCTCACTTAAACACCATTTCACTTGATCTCCAGCGCTTGTCCCGGTCAAACCAGCTAGTGCCCGAAGGCCACACAGCGTCTGGA